ATATATATATATGAAATACAAGTTATCAAGTAATTATAAAGAAAAATAAAAATAACAGGTGCAGACAAAATAAAAATATAATAAAATATAATAGTCGAAGTTATGTAAAATTTCCAGAACTGTAAAAAGTTCAAAAAATAAAACCTAAATCAGAAGCTGGTCTCAAAGCCTGTCTTCAAAATATTCGACCAAGCTGTAATACGCTTTTAAGAGCAAAAGTTCTTTTACACGGTTACGGAATACCTTGTAGTTCACTATACTTTTCATTTCGGTAGGTAAATGGTTGAAAATCTTCCGACTCTCAAACAAAACAGAATGTTTTGTTAACGTTGTTATTGGAATAGGCAGAGGTATGTCGTGAATTTGACGGGTAAAGTAGGTATTTTCTGATCTATAGCATTCTCTTCTTTTAAATATGAGACTTACTGTTTCCAAGATAAAAATGCAGTGTACAGTCAGTAATTTATTATTGATAAATAGGGGTTTGCAATGGTCCCTAATATTGGCTTTGTAGATGAATTTCACTGCTCTTTTTTGCAAAACGAAAACAGACTGTAGTAACTGTTTGCTACAAAACCCCCAGAAGGCGACACCATATCTCAAGTGAGATTCGATTAAAGCGTAGTACGCAGTTTTACCAGCAGTTGCTCCCAGTTCTTTAGTGATAACTCTAATGGCATAACAGCTAGATGAAAGTTTTTTGTTCAGATATTTTATATGATCTTCAAATTTCAGAAAGTTATCAATCCAAATTCCCAAGAATTTAGCAGATTGTTTATTTTCTATCATATGAGTTTGAAGGCAGAAATTTCCATGCACAAATTTAAATGATAGAATGTTAGTTTTGCTGAAGTTAAAACATAGTGAGTTTGAGTCACACCAATACTTAATTTTTTCTAAATCAGCTTTAATGGTACTCTTCAAGGAAACCAAATCCTTTCCACGCCACAATAAAGTGGTGTCATCTGCAAATAGTGTAATTTTACCATCAATATTGATGTTAGGAAGATCATTCACATATAGGAGAAATAAGATAGGACCTAGAACAGATCCTTGAGGAACTCCACGGCATATTTTGGAGAGACTGGATGTTTTATTTCCTACCTTGACAATTTGATTTCTGTCAGAGAGAAAAGAGCTGAACCATTCGAGGGTTGGCCCTCTGAAACCATAAAGAAATAATTTCTTCAGCAATATTCTGTGATCTACACAGTCAAAGGCCTTAGAAAAATCACAGAATACTGCAGCGGCCGCCTCGCCTTGATTTAGGCCTAAATATAGCTCTTCCAAGCTATAGCATCGCTAGTATTCTTACATGATTGAAAGCCAAATTGAGCATTGTTTATTATATTATGTTTTGTAAAGAAGAATATCATTCTTTTCTTGACAAGTTTCTCTATAAGTTTCGATAGAGATGGTATAAGAGAAATTGGTCGAAGGTTTGACGGCTCGTTCTCTGTACCCCCCTTGTGAATAAGAATAACTAAAGCAGTTTTCAGGACGCCAGGAAATGTTCCAGTTGTGAAAGATACATTAATTGAATCCGCCAGAATATGAAGAACCTGATCGGAAAGATTTTCAAAAAGTTTAATGGATACTTCGTCAATCCCGTGTGTTTTTTTATTTTTGATATATTTTAAAGTTTCCCAGTGCAAATCAAAGCTGGAAGGAAATCTATAATCCGTTGTTTAGGTCCAGGGAAGCATTCTTTCGGAGGTAAACTGAGAGATAGAAGAGTTTCAACCGTGCCAATGCCCGACGAATGTTTTCATTTACGTAGACCTGCTGTTCACTGCATGATATTTTTGAACAAGAGAAAAAGCGATCCAGGGGTTGGAACTCTTTTAGTCGCCTTTGAAAATGGTGTTATCCAGGTGTGGAATCACCATGTCGCGGGAGGATTCATAACTTCTTTCTCCGCTATCCATAAAGCTGGTGACTACGTAATTTCGATGGCAACTGACGAGAATAATGAATTTTTATTCATAGGTGAGTTTTATTACACATATTTCGCCTTGTGATGGCCCATTCATGATGGAGGTTTATCAATGAAGATTGTAAAATAATGTACTTTGAAAGACTTTTTTTGTGGAGGACTCAATACTTCCTACTTTTTTTTTGGGTGTATACAATCTGAAAAATAAACGAAGCTCAATGTGTGATAAACGGCAAACTGGAAAGTTAACCCCGAAAATTTGCTGCGTAATACAAATCACTGAAGAGTCCAATTAGGTAGTAAGTTGTATTCATAAATATTGCTTACAAACTGGAAAAATTGAAAAAAATTTGAAAAAAAAATTACTTAGCTTTCTTTAGAGGTCGGCGGTCTGACTGACATAATCCAACCTTCTTCGTGGTATCAGGCAGGAAAGTAGTTGTTTTCTGATAGGTGTCGAGTGACCAAATAGGCCGAAACCGGTCTGCAAGTGTGCTCCAATAATTGAAAATCGATTCCGGCAGTTGTATCGCCTATACTGATACCTGTCGGATATAATTCAACGTCCTTCGTGGTATTAGCCAGAGGAGTAGTTGTTTTCCGATAGGTGTCGGTCCATAACCCTACTCTGTAGGTAAGGGAAGGTTAGGTTAGGTCCAAAGTAAGTGGGTCTATTCGACCCTCCAATGCAACACGCAAGGGTTTATTGTGGCTCACACCTATTCACACTCGACCAAATAAACCCAGCTCCCTAACGAAGCCGATTAGTTTGTATGGTGAGTGGTCTTTCAGGCTCTGCCAAACTCTAAAAACTTGATTTGGTTCCCAGCGGGGCAGGCACAAAGTATGTGCTCTGCTGTTTCATCATTTCCCAAACAGAGGCGACACACACTGTCTTCTGATAGTCCGAGTGTTTGCATATGATGATTCAAATGACAGAAGGCATCTTAGACATCGTAGTTCATCCCTACTGTAGTCCAACAACTGTTTGGTATCAAACTTCGAAGGATGAATAAACGCCTTGGAGTGAGCTTATCCTGGAAGGTTCTGCCAGAAGCCCATAAATCTTCTTGCTATCCAGGTGTTCAATCTTTGTTTGGCAAAGTCTAAAGCGATGCCAGTATGGCCAGGAATCCAGACCAAAGGCAATCTGTTAAGTCTTCCTATCAAGGAGAGCCGTTTTTAGTAATTTGCTACCAATATAGACGTTGCAAGGTAGGAGCCAAGAGGTTCCAACGCCGCTTGAATGTCCGAGACTGACTAGTGTATGAGGTTGGATTCTTTTGCTACATCATAAAAATCAAAAAGATTTTGGCATGACACTTTTCTGATGTCTTACAGATACAAGTCTGCAACAAATTTTGCCGATGACTTTCCTCCTCTCACGAATTGTTTGAGTGAGAGAAGCTTTTCTTGTCTGAAAAGGGTAAAAAATTATCTGAGGTCGAGCTTGAGCAAAGACAAATTTAACGCCTCTGTTCTTTTTTGCAAAGAGTCAGAATTAATGAACAAGATTATTTATGACGATATCATCGATGATTTTGCCAACAGAAGTTATTGCAACGAATTTTTATAACTTGACTGAGTTGATTTTTTTGTTTGGAAGCGCAATAAAGAATATTCATTCACGTTTACCAAATGTGCTTTATTTTGTAAGTGGAAAATATTACTCCGCTAGTAAACGATTTCACGTACGATTTCAACAAGGTACGTATAAATTATTTCAACTAGATATAGGCGTTGTTGTCAATATGTGAATTAGAAACAAATCCCTTTAAAAATTCAAACCCAACATTTGAAACATCAATTTGAATATTTTTCGAAGTGAATTTGAAAAACTCATGAATTAAACTCAACTTTATTTTGTTCAAACTTGCATTTGAGGAACATTCCCCATTGTAGAGGCAAGGGCGGCAAAAACTGTTCAGCCTACACCTTGACAATTTCTAAATACGCCACTGCTACGTACACAATTCAATAGGTAGCGTAAATTACCGCTTGAAATACAGTCGCATAGGTTCCTAGGCAGGTTGATATCTCTGTCCTGGGTCTGCGACTGAAAACACCTGCACCAGAACCGCGAAAGGTGTTTTTGATCCATCATTGAACCAACAACTATCTGATATAAAGAGGTAAGGGAAGACTGGTTCGGACAAATTGTTCCTTTAGATATTTTAAAATCTCAATGTGTTGGTAGTTTTGAAAGGTGTTCCTACATTACCTATAACCGATGCGTCTTAATTTCTTAGACAAACCGGAAACATAAGGTTTATATTATGCAGTAACTTCTCAGGGTGATCTTCCTCTTGAAGATGATCACTTAGTGATCGAAACTCGTGTCGAGGTGTTGAAATAATGGTTTGGTGTTGAGATAAAACTGCAGTAATATCCATTACTACACCAAAGATTCCAAAGAGTGCATCACAAGTGAACTTTTCAGCAGGTTATATACTCAATAAAACTGTAGGAAGTCAAATAATGTTTTTTGTTGAATTTCATGGTGTTTTTTGAAACTCATTGTTTACAGATCGCTTGATCATGAATAACTTTCAAGAATAGGTTTTCATATTTTCCAGGAACTTCCGTGGGCTACATAAAAACTTGGCTTCTTAAGAGCTACTGCGTTTTACCACAAGATGAAGAGCATATTTGTATGCCAAAATATAGGTTGATGTTTCCTTTCACGTGGGGTGATACGTTCATCGGAAGGGCTCGCAGGATGGTAGTGAATCAGCCTAAGCCAAAGCTCCTGAATAGTTATAAGGGGCATTTCATGCCGGTTTCTGGTTTAACTTACATTGACGAATGCCAGATTTTAATAAGGTACGATCAATTTTCAGCTGAAGCTATCTCATGCAAATAAAACTGGGAAAATTCATTAAAACTTTCAACTTTCGTTATTGAAAAAGATCATGTCTTTAGAAAAACATCCAAAACCATTGATTAAGTTACACAAGAACAGATAATGGATGAATTGAAAAAACTCACACACACACACAAACACAACAATATGGAAGACCTGAAAAATCAGCAGTCGCCCATCATTAGTAATTATACTGCAGGAATTCCAGCCCAAAATCCCATGTATTTTCTTATGGCGCTTCATTCTGGTCCTTTTTGGACCTCAGGCCCACTTCACACGAAAGGAATAAAGGTCAGCGCCTCGTCTCTGCCAGACGTCCATTATGTGTAAACTGAGCCTTAGCCTTCAAAGCCCACTTCAGACCACCTCCACTTTTACCGTCATTCAGTCAACCAATCAGCTATCGCGCATAGAGCGGGAAATTCAAATCAGTAGATGAACAAACTTGTTCCGAGCTCACCGGGAGTGGGGCTAACCGAGCCCCCCCAAGGGGCCGAGGGCGGGGTACTAAGGGAGCTGATAGGTTAGGTGGAGTACCAAGGGGGCCGAGGGTGGAGTACTAAGTGGATAAGTGGAGGTGGTCTGAAGTGGGCTTTGAAGACTAAGGCTCAGTTTACACATAATGGACGTCTGACAGAGACGAGGCGCTGACCTTTACTCCTTTCGTGTAAAGTGGGCCTGAGGTCCAAAAAGGACCAGAATGAAGCGCCATAAGAAAATACATGGGATTTTGGGCTGGAATTCCTGCAGTATAATTACTATCATATTTTGCAACAAAACCATTCCATAGACTTCAGTTCATTAGGATTAGTTAGACAAGTTAACAACAACAGGCAACTAGATGCCTATGAGAGTGTAGAAATAAGTAAACACAATAATTTGTTCAGCTAGAAACTGGTGAACGCACTTGTTTGAATGTGGTTAGCAATACCTAGAAGCTTTGAACTTCTTTTTCTTCTTTCCACTATAAGATACTAGCAATGGTACGATACATGGGCCAACCATACCTCATTCAATAATTTTTGAAATTGGTTGTTTTTCAGCTGCAGCGCAGATTTTAGTGCAAGAATGTGGACATTGGGTGGCCGCTACTTACAAACAATTGGTACATTTAAACCATGGAGAGAAATTCCAAATAATCAACCTGTTGGACCAGACTTCGATTTTCCAATTCCCGCTGATATCAAGAAGGTGGCAAGCTCAACTACGTTAAGGGTAAATGATTGAATTCACTGAAGTATTCGCCACAGTTTAGTGTGTCTCTGAATCATTGATCAACACCATTCAATTTGGGTATCAAGACTGTGAAAAATTACAGTCCGCTTGAAAACTTCACATTTTGGTCCACACTCTATTCGTGCAGATAAACCAGACATTTATCTGAACCTCTGTGTGTAGGTAATTGGGAGAGATGAATGTTTGTTACTATATTCTTCAACACTGTAAGTTATAAGTTGCTATTTCAACAACACGTCTATTTGTGAAATATCCGATTATGATATATTTACAAACGTACTTTAATGTAAAATTTTATGTGTCTAATATGCTCTCTCACATACAGTGATCAGAAACTACTCTGAAGTTTATGGCACTAGTGAGTATATTGCCAACGTTTGGCAATACGCAATAACGTTTGTTACTTGTCAAACAACCGTTTTTATTATTATTAATTTCCAATTTGGTTCATTGAATACTTTTTCAATTGATTTCTGAATTTGAGAGCAGTATCAGATTTATTATTTGTTCAAGAATTGTATTATATAAATCGATTTCTGTTAGATTTGAAATTACTGACTGATAATGATTTTGTTTATGTAATGTTATGACTATGAATATTATTCATTTTTATATATAAAATAAGTTTTATAAGTACTTGATAATGGGATTGAACCCGAAACCGGAGCTTTCTACTACTCCATCTTGATACAAAAAAAGAAGGATGAGGGAGTATAGAGTTACTTCCTTCCTTTCCTTGGAAGATTCCCTCATCCTTATTTTTTGTATCAAGATGGAGTAGTAGAAAGCCAAAAACTTTCTTTCCCAAAAAAGTAATTCCTGATTTTGAATAGAATACCAATGAGGGGTGCTACTTTTTTTCGAATAAATTATACGACAGAACACAGTGAGTGACAGTTTTACATGACTCTTTGGCCTTTTCTTTATAAATGCTATCGATACTTAGTCCTCATTTCATTTTGCCTTTCCCTAGAAATAACTTGATTCTCCACCCTTAGAATTTGAAGCAGTCTTTGTCGATTCGGAATGAATTGTTCAACGAAAGTAAGGTAAAACGTTTATTTAGGTACGTGCAGTAATGTTTTTCGAAATTAGTTGCTCAGTCACCCAAAAATAACTTCAAGTCAACTACATTTTTCGGTGATTTTTGTGGAAGAATGGATTGCAGTTGTAATAAATCATCTACTAAAAGTCTGTTTCAGTTGAAATCGGTACAATTTGCTTCTTCACCCACACAAACCTTCTAAATATCATAGAGTTATTGACTCTTAATATAAAAAGTTTACAGTAGGTCGAAAAAATAATTCAAGTATTCTTTGAAGGTTAAGTTAGGTTAGGTTAGGTTAGTTAGGTTAGGGTTAGGTTAGTGAGTGGGTCTATTCGACCTTCCACCACAACCCGCAACGGTTTATTGTGGCTCACACCTATTTACACTCGACCAAATAAACCCAGCTTCTTAACGAAGCCGATTAGTTTGTACGGCTCTGCCGAACTCTTAAAAACCTGATTCGGTCCCCAGCGGGGCAGGCACAAAGTATATGCTCTGCTGTTTCATTATTTTCCAAACAGAGGCGACACACACTATCTTCTGACAGTCCGAGTTTCTGCATATGATGATTCAAATGACAGTGACCTGTAAGAAGGCATGTTAGATATCGTAGTATTGGTGCATTCACTGATCTCACTTCAGCGTTTGATTGTCATAAAATCCTCTTAGACAAATTATACCGGTATGGTATTAGAGGGGTGTGCCTAAAGATGATATAATCATACTTGACTGAGATATTTCAAGTGGTAGAATGCGGCTCCATATTAGGACAACTTCTCTTTCTTATATATTAATGATCTACCACATTTCTTGAATTCATCAGATATTAAGACTACCATGTATGCCGATGATGCAACCTTGATCAGAGTGGTGGACGACCTTAAAACTCCTCAACATACCCTCAATAATATCCCAGACAAAGCACGATCTTGGTTTGGATCAAATGAACTGATTTTAGATGAACAAAAAACAGAAGTACTAACTTTTGAAACAAGAAACTCAACATATCATTATTCTCTTTTTCACTCAGTTGTAAGATATGGAATAATATCCTGGTGCAGTGCATCAAAATGGCATCTGGAAAAAGTGTATATTCTGCAGAAATTCGCTGTAAGAGATATAACTTCTGCCAGATGGGATGAAACTTGTCATCCAATATTTAAAAATCTCAAAATAATGACACTCTATTCAGTCATTGTTTATGAAAACCTACTACATATTCGATTAAATATAAATAATTATACAGGCATCGTACAGACATACACCATCATGATACTAGAAATAAATCAGACCTCGTCATGCAAGCAAATAGACTGAAAAGGACTGACAATATTGGCCTTAAGCTATACAATACTCTGCCACTAGACTTTCGCAATTTGTCATTCAATAGATTTAAGTACTCTCTGAAGTTTTTCTTAACTGAAAATCCTCTGTATGATATCAATGAATTTTATGGAAGTGTCCAATTGAATAGAGATGCCTTCAATGTGGACACCTAAATAATAGGTATGTTCCCAGTTGACTAATATGTATGTGTATTGTAATTTAAATCAAATGTTTGTACTGAACTTCTTAACGATCTTGATATTCTTGATGATCTCAATATAATTTTTTCAACCTTATGATTACCATCTAATTCTCAAATTCAA